GCTGAATTTTACGGAGACTTGCCACGATCTCCAACCCTCCTCCTTTCTCATCCGGGCTTGGGACCGGCCATGGCGGAGTTTCTGTTGATTTATTTCTGTTTTATTTGCTTGCGTTGACCAATTTTTTGAACAGCATTTATTTATGATCAAACTCGATTCTTTCTCGTCCTATTCAAGCAGTATACTTTCCATTCTCTGACTAGGCCTTTGAGATGTTACGCCTCATTATAAAGCCCTGGCAACATGGGCTCATCGTCGTTAACCGACTGCTTAGGTTTGCCTTGCAGCACTGCTAGTCGAACGGAGCAGATATTCTAAATCTTGTCTTTCTACAATAATAAAAAATGTGCTATGATAATAAAAGACTTTAAGGGCAAAAATTGTTTATTGCTATTAGATTCAAAAATCACTGATCAAGATTCAAAGATAAAACGTGCATTTCGACTGCCGAAAAGAAGGAATGGCGATAAAGAAGAAAAACAAAAACGTTTGACAAGAGTGGGATTCGAACCCACGCCCACAGGAGTGGACTGCGACCTGAACGCAGCGCCTTGGACCGCTCGGCCATCTTGCCTTGTGCAAGACTCCTTGAACGACCTTAAATACTAGTCAAACTCCAGATGAATACCAAAGACAGTTATAGAACGAGATTCGAAAAAGTTAGTGATCCGATTCAAGCGCGTGAAATAAAGTCTGAAGGGAATATAAAATGATTATTTGTTCTAGTCGTGCTGAATTCCTGTTGAAGCAGTGTTTAGAGTAATCCTGGTAGTCACACTGGTGATTAGGTAACTTTTTCCAAATTTCAATGCAGGTTTCACAATAATCTATTGGCCTACGTAGACCAGTGCAGAAACTTCTAAACGCTGAGCTGTCTCATCTAATCTAGACCCTTTGGGGATCCGAATATGCTCTGAAGCCTGGGCCAGTCAAGTTTGTTATGAATGGTTGTGTGTACGAATCTCCTCTCCTGCGTATTGTGCAACAGGTCAGGCTAGAAGTTAAGTATCCACGGGCGACCATTACGGCAATGCATGTTG